TGCCAATGTTGAACGAAAAGACTTTTCGTTCAACATTGGCACAATCCTATCCCGGAAGTCGGTCACATCTTTATAAAAACACAGATTGTAGACCGGGATCAGGTCTTTTGTGACCGGCAATCTTTCCTGGCGAGAGGTTTACTTTCGGCACGCGGCTGCAATTCGTCTGCACTGCACATGTCATGTCATTGTGAATTGTCATATGGGTATGCGTATTTCAAACTTTTATACAAAGGCACCGCACCGCAACAGAACTGCAGTACCACCTATCTGAATGCGGGGCTTTAGACAGCCGAACGAGTTCAAGGCTCAGCACCGAAATTGATTAATTTTTCGCTTTCGAATTATAGTTTTTTCTTAATCGGAACGCCACATATGCTTTATTCATCGCAAACGTCTGTTTGTAATTATCTAATAATATAAATTTATGCAATAAGTTCTCAAATACGAATTTACCCATAGCAACGATTATTTGGTGAAAGGGTTCATGACAGGATTTTGCACGATAATCTCTTCTAATGAGGTCACCGAACGCCTGGTTAATTTATCTTTCAAGGAAATCTACTGTTTCGTCTGTTTCCACTATAAAAACTATGGCATTAGATATTCCTTCCGAAAATGTTTATTTGAAGACTGCATATCTATGCACTTTTTGTGCGCCTTATAAGAAATGCTATGAATTTATGGGCTTTATGCGATAGTTAATAATTCCAATTTCCACGGAAGTATACGTAATTGACGAAAACAGTTTATCTCCGTGACTTTTTCAAAATTTAAGAAATTACAGCCCTTCTCGCATTTAGATTCACATGACACTCCTAACGAATTTACATTTACGTAGCTGGACAAGAAACGTCATCTCAGTGACACTACCCGAAGGTTCAACACAAACTAACAACTTCTATTCAATTGTCGTAATTATACTTAGCGACATAGGTATTGTAATCAGGAGGAAGTTCCAACATTAGTGTAAACAATGAATAAAAGTAAGCAAATGCTTATACTTGCAAAATTCAAAGTAAATACTCGTAACTGTCCCTTCATACTGGTCTCTTTAGCATATGGTTTAGTAGCGCTGCACTGCGTCCTGTCTTCTGCTCAGAAGCGCTGCTAAGTCGCCCAGTGCGAAGGGGCAGTTACGAGTATTTACTTTGAATTTTGCAAGTATAAGCATTTGCTTATTTTTATTCATACGGGCCAATATGTCGGAATGTACTACCTACTAACGCGGAAAACGCAACGTAGTATCTAGTAATCGTCTAGCATAGTAGTAATTGGAACTAGGAACATACGTAACATTAAGGCTGTATATATAGTAGGGGAGCTAACACGAAATCCACTGAACGAGAATGATCAAAATTTTAACCTATGGTGTTCCATTTTGCCCTATCAGAGTATGCTAAAATCGATCGTCTGCCGCCTCAGGTCATACGACTTAAGGCGCTGCGGGTACTTCTTGTGGTACCAATTCTGAAAGGTTGTTTTTCTAAAAAATAAGTTATATACCAAATGAAAACGTTGATAATAGCTCTTAAAAAAATATTTAAAAAAATCCCGCGCATTTGGTAACTCCGTAAAAAAACAATTCTTAGTCGGTTTTTCACGAACTTTCTACGGATATAACTAGGTTACGGTGGGACGAATGAAGCTGATTTTTTTTACAGACTCATGATAGGTACTACTAATGACTTAACGGTGTTTCGTTTTTAAATTTTGTCTCTAATTACAAGATTATCTTATTAGCTTAACATTATAAGATATCTTATAATTAGAGAAAAAATTTAAAAAAGAAACACTCTCATAGTCATTGGCTGTACCTACCATTAGTCTGTAAAAAAAATCAGCTTCATTCTTCCAACGGTAACCTAGTTATATCCGTACAAAGTTCGTGAAAAACCGACTAAGAATTGTTTTTTTACGGAGTTATCAAATGTGCGCGATTTTTTTAAATGTTTTTTTAAGAGCTATTATCAACGTTTTCATTTAGTGTATAACTTATTTTCTCGAAAAACAACCTTTCAGAATTGGTACCACAAGAAGTACCCGCAGCGCCTTAAGTCGTATGACCTGAGGCGGCAGACGATCGATTTTAGCATACTCTGATAGGGCAAAATGGAACTCCATCGGTTAAAATTTTGATCATTCTCGTTCAGTGGATTTCGTGCTAGCTCCCCTACTAATATAAACTGTAAATATTAGAGAATAAATTAGTATTTTGGATGATACCACATCGTTCCAATTGCTCAAGGGTTGTTCTGTTTGTCCCAATCTACAATACTAGATAGAAGTGACGGTCTATCGCTTACATTACAACCCCTACGGCTGAATCTCTCTCCACTAAATAGCGATATTGAACACATTCAATGGATTAGGGTACTATTTGTAACATTACAATAAGGGACATGGAACATGACAAACATCCACTGAATTATATAGGTAGTGATATTAATTAAGAATTAGACATAGGAATTTACGTGTATTATTTTTCCCCATGTCTACTTTTAAATGACAAAATCCTTCTGAAGGGCGCCTAATTTTATGCATCTAAAATAATTTCTTAAAACAAATAAAAATCTGGCTGTCAAATTAATTAATTTGAATATTATTGCTTTGACTTCATAGAATATAAATCTTTTACGCTCCTTAAACTGTTACTGGCACTATACCAATTGGCAATATCAACTTTTTCTTCAGTTGAATACATCGCACATAAAAATAAAAATACGGAAGCCAAAGTGACAGCCAGATTTTTAGCGCATTTCCACAAAAATAAAAAAAAATGCGCTATTGTGGCCACTTTGTCCGTCCGTCCGTCCGTCCGTCCGTCCGCTAACTTTGCGACGCTACTAGTTTTTTTATCTTAAGAGCTATTGTTCTACTTTTTTCGCTATTTGGTTCGTTATGGTGTCGAGTCTTGTACCAAGGAAGGAATTTTTTCTGTACCGCTTACAAAAAAAGTTATTGTAAAAAAAACAAAAAACCGTTTTTTACATGTTCCATAATTTTACACTTTTGCCGTTTATTAACGATCCTAGAGATCGTTTATAATTTTGCATTGCTATCTGTCGCCTGCCGGTTGGTCTCTCCGTCTGTTCCTTTGTCTGTCTGTCCATCTATCTGTCCGTGTGAACGATAACTTTGTTTAGAAATGTTCGATCGCTTTTACATCTCCGTTAGTTATGAACTGAATTGCATGAAATTCAATATGGGCATAGATTTAGCCATATAATACGCAATGCCAAAAGTTGGATCGAATCGATTCAAAATTCACAGTGCCCTTTTCGCATCTCGACCATTTATAAACCGAATTGCAAACTTTTTTACTTATAAAAGTATTTGAATGAAATTTGATACATAGGCACTTGGAATAAAGGAAAATCAAACGCCAATTTCAAAATTTGGTTTTGCGCATGCGCAGTGCCAACTTTTTTATTTATGGAAGAATTTAAACGAAATTTGATACATAGGCACTTGGGATAAAGGAAAATCAAACGCCAATTTCAAAATTTGGTTTTGCGCATGCGCAGTGCCAACTTTTTTATTTATGGAAGAATTTAAACGAAATTTGATACATAGGCACTTGGGATAAAGGAAAATCAAACGCCAATTTCAAAATTTGGTTTTG